ATAACTGCATCTGGGAAGTGATATCCATCACTTTTGCAGTACTTGCAGTTAGAAGCAAGTTGTTAAGTCTAGTGCCACTCAGGTGGGCCATATCTGTCTGGGGAGAGGGGTGAAGGGGTCAGAGAAGGCTTCCCCAAGGAGGGGTCATGTGACCTGAAAGCCAGGAGTGGAGGTCTGTGATGGTGCCAGTGCTGCTGGGCAGCGGTTCTCGCTGACTGCTCGCTCAGGCCCCATGTCACAGCTGCTCACGGGGCAGTGGCTGGGCCTAGCACAGCGAGTTTGGTGGCCTGAAAGGCTGGGGCTGCGGGAGTGGGGGCAGAGTCCGTGCGTTGCCTGGAAGGGGGTGCTTGGGTGATTCTCCTCTCAACATCCATGCTTCCTCTTGTCCGTGCTGAAAGCTGGCAGGGTCTGTTGGGACCCAGGGGATCCCAAACCCCTGAATGGAACAGGGGACAGAAGTGGGCTCTGGGAAAGGGCAGACCCTTCCAGCTGAGCTGGTGGCCTTTGCAGAGGCGAGCTGGGAGTCAGGCCCTGATCCTGAAGGTAGACAGTAGCCCTCCAGGTCCCATCTTGGCTCTCCTCAAGAGTAACTTGCTAGGCTAGGGAGGGGTGTGTGAGGCAGGGAAGGAAAGTGGGCATCTGTTTCCGTTTCCTGCCTCAGGAGGAGGGCTCTCCCTCCTCAATGGAAGGGCTGGACCTCCCAGCGTGGACTGTTTGGGGTAAGGGGTTTGTGTGGGTGCTGCTTCGGAGACCTCTGCCTGGGGGTTCCTCTAACTCTGCTGCCCTCCTGCCTTCCCCCAGTGCCTTATCATCAATCCTGGGCCCCAGTCTGGACTAGTCACCAGAGGGTTTCTGTCAGCTCCCATACTTCTCTTCCCAAGAGGCTGATGGACTACGCACAGTTCAACACGCCTCACTTGGATCTGGAGCACCACGCAGTTGGAGCTCTGGAGCCCAGAGTCCAAGCCAGAGGGTCAGGAGGGCTGGGAGGGGCTGCTGTCAAGAGGGATGCTGCTGGGCCACAGAGACGAGCAGAGAGCAGTCCCAGCTCACTCCTCCGGTGCACTTCAGCTTGTAAACCCTTCCTGGGATGTGGACCTTGGCCTTGAGCTTCCCTTAACAGCAATTGGGGTCTTTTACATTTTTGCAGTGGCACTGATAGGTAGCCGTGTTGTTAGACAGCTCCAGGGGCAGTTGCAATGCCCGCTCTAGGGCAGGTCAGCTGCACGGCCAGTGCTCGCACCCACTCCAGCACCAGTGCCCAAGCCGAAGCCACTTCTGGTTCTGCTTCCAGTGCAACTTCCAGATTTGGGGGCAGTACCTGCCCCAGAGTTCCAGTCAGCTCTAGCTCAGCTCTGTGCTCACATCACATCAGCTCCAGCACCAGCTCCAGAGCTAGAACCAGCTCAAGGGCCATCTGGCTCCAGAGCTACAGCCACATCCCAAGCCAGCACCAGCTCCCAGCACAGAGCAAGCTCCAGGGCCAACTCCAGAGCTGGCCCAGCTCCAGTACAAATCCTAAAACTAAATGCTAGCTCCACACCACCTCCAGTGTTACAGCCGGCCTCATTGCCAGGTCCAGAAAAGAGCCAAGGGCAGCTCCGGTAACAATTTCCCTTCAGAGTCACATCTGAGGCCAGCCAGCTCCAGGACCAGCTCTAGAACTCCCTCTGGAGCTAGTGCCGTCTCTAGCATCTTTGCCAGAGCTGGAGGGAGCACCACCTGCAGGGCTGGATCCAGGGCCAGATCCAGAACTAGAAGCAACTTCAGCACCCGCTCTCGTACCAGCCCCCCCGAGTTAGAGCTAGCACTGGTAACACCGCCAGGGCTGCTTCCGGAGTCGGGGCCACCACCGCCCCTGAGCTCTAGATGGCTCCACCACCAGCTCTGGCACCAGCTCCAGGACAGGGACTGCTGTATTATCAACTCCTGTGTCTGCTGCGGCAACTGCTCTAGCATCAGCTGCAGATCTAGAACCATCTCCCAAGGTAATTACAGGCGTAGGATCCACACTAAGTTCTGAGCCATAGCAGCTCCAGCTCTAGCGCTAAGTCATGAGCCAGAGTGCACACCAGCGTCAACTTCTGCCCCAGCTCAGAACCAGAGCCAGCTCCGGCATGAGCTGGAGTTACGGCCAGTGTCAGTTCCAGAACTGGAACCAGCTGAAGCGCCGACT